GGCCTGATAGTACTTCGAGCTTTCAAACGAAAACTGTTAGCTAGGGTTTGCCCTCAATTTATACTTTATCATGTTTGCGTAGGGGCCGTGCTTATCTTCTCTAAATCACTCCAATTTTAACGGATGTCCCAAAGGACCAAAGGGAAACCCCCCAACGAGGCTGCACACAAGATCAGATCCGGGACTGGATTTGCATTTCAACAGTTCATGGGTGTACCAATTGAGCTAGGCTCTTGGGTACCTTTGCCAGTCCCGGAACTAGTGTCTGGGCCACGTCCCAACTACAACAAAAGGGTAAAATAATAATAATAATAATAATAATAATAATAATAATAATAATAATAAAATAAATAATAATAAAGTAAAACAGCAGAAAGGGGAGGGATTCCAAATGGGCAGCTGAACACAGTCAATGCTGCTGCAACCACCGCCCTTCCCCGTTGTGCCCAAACACAGTTTTCTCCTTCCTTTGAGTCTCAACAGGGCATGGCCACACTCAAACCTCCCACAGCAAATAGTGGGACCGGGCGGTAGGCCCCAAGCCGTGGCGTCTCAGCCAAACACCCCACCTGTCATTGTCCCTTGCCGGGATCAAGCAGGCCACAGTGCCTGCGTTTTGGACCAAGAATCAGGGGCCGAGCCCCGACTCCTGTGTATTGTTCCAGTTTTTAACAGATGTCTCGAAGGACCGCCTCGCAGCTTGGTCTTGGGACGCCCTCCCGGGACTGACCGGTCCCCGGTGGCCCAAACTATAAAATTTTACTCATAGCCTCCTCGCGGGGTCCGAACTATGGTCTACACTTCAACAATTTAGGGTTGTATTTGACTGAGGTGGGTCAGTTCGTCCCACCTTCAGCCTCGGAACTAGTGCCAGCCTACTGCAGAGGTTGTCTGTCAAGGCTATAACTCGGGGAGCAACCCAGTCCCCAGACTTTCCATTACCCGCACACGGCACAAACTCACGCGACATGCCCCCTCAAATGGACGGCGCTGAAGTGTCGCACCCTATGCTCGGTCGTTGTGACTATTCCGATGCCGCAACGAGTAGGAGGGCACAAGGTCCGCTGCAAAAATTGCAGCATGAACTCAAGTGAGAACAGGTCTCACTACAGACCTTGGTGGTGCTAGCAATTTTTCAAGTGAGAGCCTTGAGACTGCAGAGACGGGTTCCATGTGATCAGTTGCTGCAGCGGCCTCTGCCCTGGTGCGCCCGTCCCTACTGCGCCCAGGCACGGTTCACCACCTTTTGGGTTCCAACAGGCATGCTCAGGGCATACTCACACTGCAAGCCCCCACGGCCATGCTCACACCGCAACCCCAAACCTGCAAAAATATGCAGATTTGGGATGGGCAAATTTGGGGTCTTGCGCATGGTTCTGGTCACACATTGCTGCCCCTTTTTAGATGGAACATGACCCTGGCCATCTGCAACAATGACAAAATGGTCCTTTGTTGGTCCCACGGCACCATCCACAAGTCGTGCAAGAGCTGGTGACCGCGAATTCCCTTGTCCCGCGGCCACACAAGCTGCCTGACAGAAGGCACACAAATAGTACATTTAGGCCCTTGGCGAATCTGAGTGACTGGTCATGCGCCTCACGGCCCCGACAGCATACTCCCACTCACCCCTTTTCACAACAGACCGGGGTTGGCGGATGGTGCACCCGCGGAGGNAGTGACTGGTCATGCGCCTCACGGCCCCGACAGCATACTCCCACTCACCCCTTTTCACAACAGACCGGGGTTGGCGGATGGTGCACCCGCGGAGGATCCCCGCCGCTCAGGTTTCCTCCGCCTCGTGGGCTAACCCAACAGGCTCCCATATTTGTTGAACTCCTCAGCCCGCGGTTTCAACAGTTCATGGGCGTATCAGTTGAACCACGCCCGCTGGTCCTCGCACACAACTCCGGTACCAACGCTGTCGCCATGCCCCGGGACCAACAAATAAAAATAAGGGTAAAAATAAAATATGAACGTTGAAAACCGGTGCTCTGGGGAAGGGGGACCGCCAGTACCACTCTCAGTTCCGCCAGTCGGGCCTACAGATGGGCCGACAACAAAACCAAGGGGAATAGCCCCGCCAGACCCTCAACCCCTCGGCATCTTCAGCCGCCCTGATATTCCATCGCCGCCAGTCGTCGCCCTCGATCCCTGTACTGTCGTTTTGAAAGTCCAATGCCGTTACCAATAGTGCTAGTACCCAAGGCTGAGGCAGACTACGACAAAATTTAATATAAGTTGTTGCCGCGCGGCACGCGGACCTACGGACCAGGCTCACGACTGTCGACCTATGGCGCCCGCCACTCATAAGGTCCGGCTCCGTCCACGACTGTCAACCTCCCGCATCTACCGCGCGGAGGTCACCGCTCACATTCTATTTCCTCCCACATGCTCCAACTAGCGCCTGAAAGCAAATATTATTGTCTGATGACGTCTCCCGTATGAGCGCACACGCACCATGGTCACCTTAACATAGAGAAAACTCCTCCTAACTTTTAATCAAAATCACAATTTTGTCGGCGAAAGCGCCGACTCTATAACATCAAAATAAGAATTATCACGCACGCCTCGAAATTGCGCGCCCACACACTCTCTGCTTTTAGTCAACCGTTTAAGTCAGCGTGAAAAAAACGCAACTGTGACTCGCGCAGTACACTCAAATGTCGAACAAAACTTATCTTCTGTCACTCGCAAAAACCAGGGCGGATACCCTTGTAAGGGTATTCGAGACGACAGCGCCGCCGAAGCGGCGCTTAGCGCAGTTCAAAATTAGCGCGAGCGTTAGCGCTCCCAGATGCATTTTTTCTCCAATTATTCTGCGTACGAAAAATCGCCAATGTTGGTGCTTGAAAATTGCAAGATTGGACCCGCCTGCGCCTTCCATTCGTGAGGAAACGGGTGCGACCGTGAGGGAACGGGTGTGCCCGGCACCGTTTCGATTTTTCGACCAAAGGGCCTGCGTCCACGATGTTTCAGATTCGAAAATCAAGGCCCTAATGCCACAGGCAGCTACCGGTCCTGCATTTGCTTGAACTGCCGCCCCCCCCTAAATGCCTGTGCCTTTCATTTTACCAGCCTTTCAACGACCAATGGGCCCGAATGAACGACCGGCATAACGAAGGAAAAGGACGACGACGAAAAAATGTCTCAGGGGCATAAAACGCACCCCTGACGGGCTGCGAACTGTACATGCATTTGGATGCTTCATGACCGGATACATTCACGACGTTGGAAGGGGCCAAATGCATGTTGTCTAGTGGAGCGAGGCCCTATATGTCACTCGTATGCACCCAACCCTACATGTCAGTCGTATGCACCCAACCCTACATGTCACTCGTCTGCACCCAAGAAAAGAATCTAAGTTGTTGGAAAGAATCCATGAAGAGATTTAAAAAAAGAGAGAAAAGTGAACAGATGCACAGGAAGAGGATATGGAAAGATATCTTCCCAGGGGCAAAATCCCACTAGCAGCTTTGAGCTACCTCAACGCCCGAATCTGGACGCTTTTGCGGAGATGTGCAGAGATGGTGTTGAGTTTCCTGAACTGCACGTCTCCACAAACACGTCCAGATTCGGGCGTTGAGGTAGCTCAACGCTGCGCGTTTCTGGACTTTTGGCAATTCCGACAGGACTGATTGGCCTGACTGAGTGTGGCTGTCATTTGTGGTCAAAGTCATTGTAAACGGCTTTGGGAGAAGCGAAGTTATCTTCCTGGTTTTGGTCTCTTTTTTTTGCCGTAATTCGTTTTTGTTTTTTTTTCTTCTTAATTTTGCCGTAATTCTCGGTGAGGTACGTCCCTCAAAGTTAGTCCGATGATAATACCTCAAGGCTATCGCCCTTTAAAAAAAAAAAAAAAAAAAAAAAGTTATTGTAAATGCCATTTGGGAAGCGACGTCACAACTGCCAGCAAGGCATCACAAGAGCCTACCTGGACGCGAACGCGACTTCAGCGGCTTGTGGGGTCCTTTCTTTTTCTTTTTTCTTTCTTCTTTTTTTTTCATTTTTTCTTCTTACCTTGTTTTGCCAGCACCCCTCTTGGCGGGGGCTCTTTTTCCTCGTTACTCCCCTCTTGGCGGGGGCTCTTTTTTCCTACCCCACGTTCTTGGTGGGGGCTCTTTTTTCTCTACCGTACCCTCTTGGCGGGGAGTCGTTTTTTTTTTTTTTTTTAATTATTTGAAGAACTCAAGGGACTGGGGCCATTACCCAGCTTCGGCTAGGGGGACCAAGTCCCACTAGCAGCGTTGAGCTACCTCAACGCCTGAATGTGGACGCGTTTGCGGAGATGTGCATCAACGCTGCTAGTGGGACTTGGCCCCGGGGACTCGTTTTTGACTCCCCTCCCCTCTTGGCGGGGGGCGTGAAGCGACAGTCCCGTTTTCACCTCCAATTTTTTTTTTTTCTTTTTTTTTCTTTTTTTTTTTTGATAGAAAGAGCTCCATTCTATTCGTGGGGTTCACCTCCAATTTTGGCTTCACGGGAGTCGGAAGAACCTTTGTGGACTCTCACTCTTCCCTGTGGCAGGCGGGGCGGGAAGAGAGAGAGAGAGAGAGAGAGAGAGAGAGAGAGAGACCCTCTTCTTCGTGGCAGGGGGGCGGGAAGAGAGAGAGAGAGAGGGAGGTGGTGACTCCTTCCGGTGTGGTTCCCTTCTTCTGCCACACCTTCCCTTCAGCTTCCTGGGAACAGGAGGTGACACAGGTCGAAGGTGGCGTTGTAATTCCCGCGCTCCACCCCTGGGGGACTTTTGGGAATGACTCTGACGCTAACTGCGGTCAAACACGCCTGGAAAAAATCGCCGTGTGTGTGAATATTGAATATGCCCTTGTGTTTACTTTTCGGCAATTGAATATGCCCTTGTGTTTACTTTTCGCCAATTGTTTTTTTTTTTTTTTTTTTTTTGAGGAACGCACATGAGATATGTGAAAGCTCGTGATATTATAGTGACCTCGTGCGCCCAGTCACGCTTCCTAGGTACATTCCTGTTCCTGGTTCCTGGTATAATGGGGTTCCCTTCCACCTGCAAAGAAAGATATTTGGATTGCAGAAAGGGCGTGGGCGAGGGTTAATTTGGACCGACTTCACACACACACACACCCACACACCCACGCACACACACACACCCACGCACACACACACACACAGAGGAGGTCGTTCGTGCTGGTGTTTGCGCGCACGTCCAGCGTGTGAGCGTGTGTGGGTGTGCGTGCGTGTGTGTACGAGAGAGAGAGAGAGAGAGATGGAGGAAGAAAGTGGAGCGCATGAAGGACCGCCGATCGAGGTGGTAATCGAGGAACTTGCGCAGAGGCTGAATCGGAAGCTGACGTTCGAGGAAGCAGTTTCCAAGCTGACGGATATGGTGGAAAGGGAGTACGCGTCGGCCAGCCCGCCTGCAAAGGAGAAGGTAGGGATGTGTGGAGTTGTCGTGCAATTGCAATCAAGCCTCGGATGAACTATTAAAAAAAAAAAAACCGCAAAGGACAGTCACGCGCTCAATTAATTGGCATAGCAAGAAGGACCGAGCGAAAGAGAACTAGTGCAGCACGAGGGAGCGAGAGAAACAGAACACAGAGAGAGAGAGAGAGAGAGAGAGAGAGAGAGAGAGAGAGAGAGAGGTTGGGGTACTTAGGGAGGGTAGCGGCAAGCCGAGATGGAAGAAGGGGGCCAGGGGAGAGGGTCATGAATGTCTCTGATGACCCTGTTACTCGAGGAATATGGGGAGTTGGACGGTCCACCGTAAGGTCATCAGAGATGTCCCACCCTTTGTTAACGGCAACACAAGTATAGTTTATTTGTGTTCAAGTGTGTCTGGAGCATCAAAATGGTGTGATGGAATGATAAATAGTTTGAATGCTAATCAATTTACAGCGTAGGGGTGTTGCTTGGAACTAACTGTCGTGCGAGGAAATTGCTTGGAAAATATCTTCAATTTTTTATTTATTCAGATTTACTGTATTAATGCACTGTTTAGTTCACTGTATTGAATCTGTTCATTATTTTGATACGGATTCATTGTTATGCTGATGACTAGAAAAGTATGTGATGTCGAGTGTAAAACTCGCCCACATTCATCTACCACCTTCTTGAGTTTTACCTTTCCCATGGATCCTACCTTCTTCCCCCGAATACAACGTACGGTGATTATAGCTGAATTTAGACTGAAGACACACCAAATTCAGCTATAATGACCGTACGTTGTATTCGAGGGAAGACTGTAGCTGCATTCGGATTCGCACGCGGGTCTGACGTGTCAGTAGAGAGAGCGCAACTTGCTGACGTGTCAGTAGAGAGCGCAACTTGCTGACGTGTCAGTAGAGAGCGCAACTTGCTGACGTGTCAGTGACTGAGCTAGGTGCGTTGGTGTGTGAAACTGTTTTTCAATCAACAAGGACCACGGCGTGACACGTCACGTTTATTATATCTTACAGTAAGATTGCGTTTTTTTTCTTTCTTAATATGTTCCCCCCTCTCCCTCCCC